GTTCTTCCAGTATTGTAGATAACGCGTGAGTTGTTTGTAACCAAATAATTTTTCAATTTACTTAAGCTAGAATATTTTTGTTAATTTGCTTATTTACTTTGCACTGAATGAAAAGAGATATGCAATTTACAATACATTTGCTAAACTTATTATGCAATCACATGGGACAGGAATCATCTTTTGAAAAGAATGAATTCCCATGCTACTTTGCCTAAAATATTTTCAAAATCAGAGCTGTAACTTTTGAACTACTACAATTTTTATCGCGACACTCAAGGTCACGTAAATTCAAACGGTGACAGAAAAGAACTATGAACATAGATGTTGGAGATAAAGTCAATAATAACTACCCTTAACTCATAGCCATCTATATATAAGTATGATATTGCAAACTGAAATGGATTTCCAAAATGGAGCTGATGTTGCACGAGTTTGGTCAACACCTGTATATATGTTTTTATGAGGCACGGGATTTTGACAGGCAGGCCGCACAGCATTCGCACTACTGACTTCTATTCTGGGCCATATCTTTCAGCGTCTCTAACCAACGGCAATCCTCATCCTTTGGGCCCTAACCTGGAAGGCGGGCTGTAACAACCGAAACCAAAGCTGAAGCTAGCTGCACCGTAAAGCAGCACGGTCTAACTGCTGCAGCATGTACTCGACCCTTCACATACAGCCGGATGTCGCGACGGCGCCACAAATGTCTCAGGTTGGTATATGCCAATCGGGCCTTTTGTATGCGCGCCGACACTGCATCTGTGATGCGTCTGCCGGGTGAGATGTAGCTGCCCAAATATCAAAATTTGTCTATTTTCTCTACTACTTCCCCAGTCAGGATGAGGTTGGGGGCTGGACCAACCCAGTCTTGTAGTAACATTTTACACTTTGAAGGTGCAAAACGCATACCGAACATGGCTACACTAGCATTCAAACTATCCAGATAAACTTTCAACTTACCTGGACCTTCACTTAGGAGCACAGTGTCGTCTGCGTACTCTAGATCAGACAGTATGCCAGCAGGAAGTAACTCGATACCGCTATCCTCGCATGAGGGTTGGGCCGTTTCAAGAAATAAATCCAAAACAAAGTTAAATAGAAAAGGAGAGAGAGGGTAACCCTGTCGAACACCACTTTCCGTAGTGAACTCAGGTAAAAACGCGCCGTGAGCTCGGAATCCGCTTCGACTATTGTTGTAGAGGGATCGTAATATCGAAATAATTATTTCGGGTACACCCTTTAAGGGAAGGCAGATGC